GGGAGCTAAAAAAAAAATAAACAAATTAATTTACCCACAAACACACACACACACACACACAAAAAACCGGGGGGTGGGGGGGGGAGAAGATATAACTACTATACTTTTTTGAAGTTGTTACAACAAGCAAATGGAAAGGACATTCTTGGTGGGGAGGGGAGAGAGGGAGGAGGGAGGGAGGTGTCGGTGATGGGCCATAATAATTATATACATTGTATATTGACAAAATAAAAATTTAATGGAAAAAAAAACCTGATTTTAAAAAGGACTTGAATAGACACAACTCCAAAGATATACAAATGCCCAGAAACACATGAAAATATGCTCACTATCACTTATTAGGGAAAAGCAAATCAAAACCACAATGAGAGAGCACTTCACAGCCATTAGGATGGTTATTGTTTAAAAAACGAAAACAAAAAAAATAATGTTGGTGAGGATGTCAAAAAATCGGATCCCTTGTGCATTAATGGTGGAATTGCAAAATGGCGTAGTCACTATTAGAAACAGTACGGCAGTTCCTCAAAACTAAAACTAGGCTTTTCATATGATTTCAAAACTGAAACTAGGATTTTCAATTCTACTTCTGAGTATATCTGAAAGCAGGGATATTCAATTCAAACAGGTATTTGTTCACCCCGAAAGGTGAATATATCAACAAATATGAATGTGTGTGTAGGCGGGGGCACTATTCAGCCTTAAAAGGGGGAAATTCTTACACATTGTACGACATGGATGAACCTTGATCATGTTATGCTAAGTAAAGTAAGACAAAAGCCCAACTATTTTATGATTCCCTTCAAATTTGAGTAGTCAAATTCATAGGGACATAAAGTAGAATGGTGGTTGTCAGGAGCTGGGGGTAGAGAGAAATGCAGAGTTACTATCTAATGAGTAGTGAGTTTCCATTTGGGATGATGAAAAAGTTCTGGAGATGGATGTTGGTAATGGTTGCACAATAATCTCAATGTATATTAATGCCACTGAATTGCATATTTAAAATATTTTAAATGGTAAATTTTGTGTTATGTATATTTTACCATAATAAAAAAGATTAATTAATAAAACATAATGTGAACTCAGCAAAGAGATTGAATACAGCAACTCATAACAAGATGGACTGACCAGGAAAGAAAATGACTCAAATAAGCAAACTACAGTATGATACAGTATTATGATTCCATTTGTACAAAGTCCAAAAATAGGTAAAACCAAGCATGCTGTTTGGAAATATACACATTATAAAAAGCAGGGGCAGGGACAGTCACTCGAGGGCATAGAGGGGGATACGATTGTGTAGGTGCACAATGGTGGCTTTTAAGGTACCTGCTAACTTAGATTTCTTTAAGCAGTGGGTATGAGGGTGTTTATAATTATTCTTGGAGTGGTACATATGTCGTATGTAAATCTCCTCATATGTAATATTTCAGGATTTTAAAAAACAAAACGTACCCCTACCCCAAAAGAAAAGTGAACCTTCTCCCTGTTTTACTTCATAGATGATTTATGCTTTGTAGTAAGGCTGGAAAATCCAAAAACACAGTATAATTACTTTTCAGCCTTCCCATTGAGGCCTCTTTTTTCCCTTTTTTTCAAAACAGCTTATGCTCTACTTTCCCTCTCAGAAATAAAATGGTTCCAAACACTTAATTCACGCAGATGTTTCAAGACTGTGTACCTGAACATTATGACTTCGTCTGGCAGTAACTCTTCTCACGAAACAAAACGCTCACCGGATATTAGTTATGTCCTTATGAACTTGTCAGAAAAATATCCATAAATAATGCCTGTCTGGTGGATTTTTAAGTGTTTAAAACATTATTTTGATATAGATATGACTGCTACTCACATCAATAATTAGCATCTAACCAAGAAGATTTACTCATTCAGAGCCACCAATCTATCAGAATGTTTGAATCCCTAAAAATAAAACAGACATACAGATAGGTGTAGTATTTAATCGAAATATATTTGTCTAATATCTACAAAGTGTGAACAATTGGTCTTAAGAAAGCAGACAAAAGGCACAAAATTAGAATTACTACAGAGAAGCATTCATGCTACTGGATTTTATAAATATTGGAGTGGCACAGTAAAAAATGAATTAAGCACTGAGCAAAAATCAAATATGTAATTTTTTTTCCTTGCTTTTTATTTTGGTCATGTCTTGTGACCTCATTTATAAAGGTGGAGGGCTGAAATTCAACTGAAACCATGGAGCACTTAATGCAGACTTCATGTGTGTTTTAATCACTGGCTTTCTTGCAGAGTTTGGGCCAAACCAGAGTGGTGCACCTAAGGAAAAAATCCACAAGAAGTTCTCTTCTCTTTCCCCAAACTAAATACAAGATTGAGGCTGTGGTTGGTTGTATATGCATGCATGTATTTAATTTCTAAAGCCCTTTATCATCATAAAAATGGTGAAGTCTCCATATGATTTGTTTTCTGCTTAATAAAACAGCTTCTGAAAAATGTATGACTAGTGCTTTTAGCATGAGAAGTTGTCAGGAAGATGGGAGGAAAACTCCATGGTAAGGCCTGGCTCTAGGTTCTCCCAGAGGTGCTCCATTCTGGAAGGCTCTGGCATAAACCTTTAACAGCTTCCTGCCCACATATATTGAACAGGGAATAGTAGTTTATCTTTCTTGGGTGGGGACAGACAAAACATTGAGATGGGGACGGAGGTGAGACTCACAATAATTTTGAAATGATAGCCACCCATACTTCTACCTGGAATGAGCCACTTTCTACCATATGAATGTCAATTGGGTCATGCCAATTCACCTTTGTTTTGACAGGAGTTGACTAAGTGAGAATATCTTTGAGTGTAAAACATTTTTGGCAAAGTGAAAAATAGAAAACTTCAAACGTCACTGATAAAAAGGAGCTTAAGATTACCATCTTAAACCTTGGTGAGAGCAGTATTTACATGTGTAATAGTCAGCAGATGTGTACATAGTGCATGCGTGTGAACATATACAGTGTGTACACACACATGCCCCAAATGGCTCTTGAATAAATTCAATCCTCTAGCAGAGTTTGGGGGTGCATTTTTCACAGTATATAATTTCTCTCTGTTAACATTTCTTGGTTGCTAACAACAGGTCTCAGTGAATGCCAACAGAATCTTGATGCTGTAACTTTAATTCCTACAAAAATGGCTATTTTCGAAAGCTCTGCACCTCCACCTCATCAGTGTGCCTTCCAGAGGGGATTGAAGTAGACCCAGCCATCACCCTGTAAGAGAAGGAAGGAGACATTACATGGAGAACTCCCAGCAGGGAAAAGGTGGAAGCCCAGGACTGCCACGTTCCTGATGTCTCACACCCAGGCCAAGCCAGAGCCAAGCTGCCCCCACCCATCCCCCAGGACCTCCACTGCCCCATCTGTTCTTCATCCAGTCTGCTGGGTTAGCAAAAAAAACCCATCTGCCCTCTCACTCAGAACAAGCTCTCTTGTGGGCAAGAGCACAATGACGGGTAGTGGAGTTACCTCCTGGATAAAATATTTGGGCTGCCATGGCATGTGGAGGTTCTCTCGCTTCCGTTCCTCCACCCGCTGCTTCTCCTCAAGGTGCCGCTTCTGCTCAGTGGCTGCGTCGATATCCCCCAGCCGCAGGTGTCGTGTCACCTCCTGCCAGAGGTTCCTAGGGATGCATGGAGAAGGAACAATCAGGCGGGGCCAGCTGGCTGGAGGATGACAATCCTTGGCAAGGAGTGGCCAGAGCAGGGTAGGTGCATTCAGGCAAGCCATCTGCAGGGGTAGCTCATCACAGGTGCCTCAAAGACCCTAAGAACCAGGATTTGAGCCCAGGGCTACCTGACTCCACACCTGTGTTGTTCCCACTCTCCATTTGTCCCGAGGAGCATACCTTTCTCAAGGCTCTGAGTTTCTGGGGATCAAATCTAATAATAATTGCGGTAGTAGGCAGTGTACTACTACTACAAACAACAGCAGATACATATGGCATTTATCATACTTCTAAGCATTTTACAATATGTGAGCATACTTCAAAAAGTTCATGAAAAATAGAATTTAAAATACAAATCTTTCCATGAACTTTTTGAGGTACCTTGTAGAAACTCTAATCCTCATAACAGTCCAATAATATAGATGCTATATTATTATTTCCACTTTACTGAGGAGAAAACTAAGGTCCAGAAAAGATTAAGTGACTTGCCTGATGTCACCAAGCTTATAATATGAGTGATGCCTGTTTTCTCACAAGGGAACCCAAAATTATGAGTTACAGACTAATGTGTGTGTATTTATGGTTTAGGATCTATCATCTCCCCCGTGTCTACACAGAAAGCCACTTCTCTGCCTCATTCATTTATTGTAGAAGGCAGCATAGATTGGCTTCTGTCTAACACAGACTTCCTACTCAGGAACCTCCCGGGACCAGTCCTGATTCAGACACACTCTGATTTAAAGGGTGAGGAGTAAAATCAGGATTAAGCAGGGCACCCATAACCCATACACTTCCTCACTTAAATACAGGAGAAGCCAGGATTTCACACAAAGGGAACTCTCAGAATTCTCAGTGGCTGAGATTCCCTCCATGGCTTCAAGAAAGTGATGCCCCTGCACCCAGGGGCAAGGGAATTCTCCATCATTAGATCCTGGGCCAGGAAGCACTTCCACAGTGGGGTGCCTCTGACCCTTTCCAGCAGGAAGCCTTGAATGTTGGTGTGATGAGACTGAGAAAGGACGGACGGGGCTGCCAGCAACGCAGGGACAGTGAGCAGCATCTTCTGAGGAGGGTCAGATGCCAAGGGAAGAAACCAACAAGGGTAGAGCTCCAGCTGCAAACTCCCCAGCCTGCTGGGCCCATCCTGAATACCACCGTACAGAGACCCAGGGAGAGCCATGCTCTGGCTCCATTTTACAGCAAGAGAAGCTACTGGAATGGGATATAAATCAAGGTTTGTCTGGCCTCACAGCCCTTGCTCTTTCTACTATGCTTTCACACTGGACTTAAGAGGAGACTGGCCAAAACAGTAAAGTGGGGTGAGGGGAGGAAACACTGCGGGGGTGGGTGTTGGGTCAAATCACAGTCCTTTTCATCACCCCCACTCTCATCATGTTGAGGGAGGGGCTGGGCATAAGGACAGTCAGGGCTGGGGGTCCTCTCAAGGACAGGACTTCCCATAAGTCCCTAAGACAGTGGCTCAAGTTTAGAGGGCAGAGACCCCCAAGGACTAGAGATGGGGTGGTAGGACAGGAACTGGCCCACAGATGAAGAGCTCTACCCAGACAAGCAGAGGGAGCTCCAAACCAAGAGAATCACCTGAGAGGGGGGAGGGGGAAGGCTCTCAACACCAAGCTAAAGCAAAGGAGGCCTTTCCCTTGTCCTGCTACTACCGCCTGATAGGCTAAGGCTGAAAGGACCAATTAAAGTTCATGCTCTCCATCTGGACACAGAGAAGGCTATGCACACTGTCCTCCAATAAACAGATTAAAGAGTATACTAATCCTGCAACAAAGCAAAGGTTCCAGGGATACTGAACTCTATTTTTATTAAACTCAGTTATAATGTATCATTTATACACTGTTGTATCCCTGCTTTGTTTCCACTTAAGTACTTTTTCCATTTGGTTATAAACTCTTCTAGTAATAGCAAGTCCTTTTGTAGAATCATTGTAATTTAATTTGAAACCTAAATCATATTTCTAAAGAGCACATACTTTTAGATTAAAGCAGGATTTTGCAAACACTTTCTGTAAAGAGCCAGATAAAAACATTTTAGGCTTTGCAAGCCATATGGTTTTGGTTGCAACTACTTAACTCTGCTGTTGCAGCAGGAAGGCAGCCATAAAGTAAATGAATGATCATGGCTGTGTTCCAATAAAACTTGATTTAAAAAATCAGCCATGGGCTGGATTTGTCCCATGAGCCACAGTTTGCTAATGTCCTAGATTAAAAAAGAAAAATGGCATATTTCAGGAAGATTTTGTATAAACATCATTTTAAGTGGCCGCATTATATTCATACTATAGTGTGAATAAACTAATTGAGCAGTTATTTCATAATTAACCTTTTTCCAAATGTTGGAGTTTCTTTATTTTTTTTAAGAAAACAACTTTTGTCTAAACTTTTGTTTAAAATCTTGTCTGAATTTAAGAATTTTCCCTGCGAATAGATTCCAGAAGTAGAATTCAAGATAAAAGTAAATCCATGAGTTTAAATCTACAGATCCAGGCGCCGGCCCGTGGCTCACTAGGGAGAGTGTGGTGCTGACAACACCAAGGCCGCGGGTTTGGATCCCTATATAGGGATGGCCGGTTAGCTCACTTGGGAGAGCGCGGTGCTGACACCACCAAGTTAAGGGTTAAGATCCACTTACCAGTGATCTTTTAATAAATAAATAAATCTACTACTCCATGCAACTAAATTTCACACTCTCCTATTGGAAAGACAGAGTACAAGTGTCAATTTTACTACACCCTTTCCCAGCACTGAATTTTTTTTTTAAATAACATTGCTAATCTGGTAAGAAAAAAAAATAGCATCTCATTGCTTCACTGTACAGTTTTTTGATTACTAGCAACTCTCTGTATTTAACTTTGCAATCAAACAACAGATCAGTTGAGATAACAAACTTTTTCAGGACAGACATTAAAAGTCTGCCATAGGCTATCTTCACACCCCACCACATAATTGCAGAATGACTCACAGCTAAAAGGATCTATTCCTAGACGACACAAAGTGGAAAATTCAAATATCTAAAGAAACCAGAAGAATTTGACTCCTGGCCCATTTCAATAGCTGGGATTTCAAAGACTTCCTCTCTGTCCCTCAGGTCAAGCACTGAGGACAACTAAACTGGAGAGAGAAACGCAACCTTATTCTCACCTGGACTCCATGGGCCCCTGCTTCTCGAGAGGTCTGATCTTCTTAGGATACACTGGCAATGTGGTCGTGTCGATGACTTTGGTTTCTCCATTGCTGTAGGTGAACTCTAAGGTGCCGTTCCATTCCCCGTGGGCTTTACAAACAATGGTGTTGGTTGGATTGTGCTTCACTTCTGCTGTGACCCTGAATTAATGAATGAGTCAACTGAACACACTTTGCAAGATTTATCAAAACAGAGACTTCAAAGGTGCACTCATACTTAGAGATTTTTTTATGGGGAAGGAGGGATTGTTTTTCAGTTTTGCTCAAAGACTAGCTCTTAAAATATGATCTAATATCCTTGAACAGAAAAAGGCAGCATCGGTGGAAAAACTGGTGAAATGTGAATAAAGTCTGTAGATTAGCTAATAGTACGTAGCAATGGTAATTTCTTAGTTTTGATAAACACTCAATGGTTGTGTAAAATGTTATCAATGGGATGAAAATAAAGCAATTCAGTAAAGACAAAATAAAATATATTCTCCGCAAAATAGCCTCTAATAAGTGGTACATTTTAACCACAAAAAGAATGTAAGAGTGTAGGGAAAGCTTTTCAAGCTTTAAGCCAGGTCAGTTCTGTATGTGGGTCAAACACAGCTGCTCACAATCCCACCAGAGCTCATGCTGGGAAAGGAGGGAAACGTCCACCGCAGCCTTCACACATCCCCCTGAATGAAGGCTGAGCAAACTAGACTCTCAGCCTTACATCAATACATTCCTACTCACAGCAGTGGCTCTGAGGGACAACTGTCAACCTCTCATTCAAGAGGCCTCTGTGGAGCTTTGTGACCTGTCTTTTCACCTGCCTGCCTTAGGGAACTCCAGGTCTCGGCCTCTGGGTCAAGGCAAATGCCTGCCTGCTCTTCACCGTGGAGCTCGGCGCAGTCAGAGCAACACAGCAGAACAGGGAAGCCTGCTCCAAAGCGGCCTAGCGTGGGAGCCAAGCTCCTTTTTTTCTAATGGCCCAGCTCAGGCTGAATTTAGAGTTTTTAAACATAGGTTTGGAAGCTTCCTCCCTGAACGTGAAAACAGCCACAGGTGGCGAGGCAGAGGCTCCCAGGCAGGTATGTGGAATCTTCCAGGATGCACACAGCGGAAAGGGATTAGTGCTGTGATGGTAAATGTTTAACAGCTGGCTCTCCATGAGGGAAAACACCTGACCTGTAACATTTACCAATTTCTGTGGTATTCCCCCATGCTGATTTTAACCAATATGGTATCACTGATCGTGGAACTGGAGAGAAATGCACACAAATCAGCTCTTGCGAGCCAGCATGTGACGGCTCCAGCATGCCACTCTGGGCATCCACGTGCCCAGATGATACTCTGACACCCTGTTAACGCCATGCAGAGTGACACTTTCCAAGAAACAGGGAGAAGATGGAAGCTTGCGTATACAGATCTGTTCTGTAGGAGGATTTTTTTTTTTATAACTGTAGTAATAAAAACAACTTTGTGCCTACTCAAACAGTAGACCTCTCCTTCAATTTATTAGACTTGGGTTTCCCCAGCTTCTAAAAGGAAAGAAATGTAGTGCGCCGCTTGGGAAGCGCGGCAGCGCTCCCGCCCGAGGGTTCGGATCCCGCATACGGACCGGTTCCTGCTCACTGGCTGAGCGAGGCGCGGGGGCAACGCCAAGGGTTGCGATCCCGTTGCCGGTCCCCGGTCCGGTACGGGGGCAACACTGAGGGTTGCTGTCCGTTGCCGGACATGGAAAAAAAACAAAAAGACAAAAAAATAAAAATAAAAATAAAAATAAAAATAAATAAAAGGAAAGAAATGGCCCCACTCATAGGTGCATGATACCAGACTCAGGATAGTTAATGTAGCAAACAAAAAGACAAAAAAATAAAAATAAAAATAAAAATAAAAATAAATAAAAGGAAAGAAATGGCCCCACTCATAGGTGCATGATACCAGACTCAGGATAGTTAATGTAGCAAACAAAAAGACAAAAAAATAAAAATAAAAATAAAAATAAAAATAAATAAAAGGAAAGAAATGGCCCCACTCATAGGTGCATGATACCAGACTCAGGATAGTTAATGTAGCAAACAAAAAGACAAAAAAATAAAAATAAAAATAAAAATAAAAATAAATAAAAGGAAAGAAATGGCCCCACTCATAGGTGCATGATACCAGACTCAGGATAGTTAATGTAGCCAACTTAGCGTAAAATGAAGAATGCTCCAGCAACATTTACTCCACAGATCAAATCACTTCAGAGCCAAGCAACAGGCTGCAACCTCAGAAAGGAGAGTTTATTGTAACAAATGGAGGTGCCTTTTATTCTCTGGTGTGTGATCTACAAATGCATCACCAAAGATTTCACCATAAGTATGGAGTGGAGAGGGCTCCAAACCACCACCATGTGAGGTGGGGAAAAGAGGGACCTCTTTTGAAGATAACCTGTCAGCAACTATATTGATTTCCAACTCATCCCATTGCTGGAACTCAGTCTTGTAACAGAGAAAAGAAACTCAGGGCATCGTGATAAGACAAAGCCAGAGCCTCCCTAGCCACCTCCCTACCTGTGGACTTTGCCTCCGTAGAAAGGTTTCGTGTGGAATATCACGGTCGCTGAGTACCCAGTCTTGGCACAGTTGATACTCACTTTCCCTCCGAGCTCCACCCATGGAATTGTGAGAATGGACCGCGCGTAGGCACTAGGCAGGGTGAATACGTACTCCTCCCCATGTTCCAGGAGCCTCAGCACACCTCCAGGGAGAGGAAGGAGAAAGTTAAGCACATAGACGGGAAAAGGGCGGCTGGGGATTAGGGGATACAAAGATGGGAAACAAATGAGCCTTCTGCAACAAACAACACATCTCCCTTCTCTGCAGAGACCAACCGTGCATTCGCCATGTGCTCTACTGTGTGCCAGGTACTGTGCAAGGCACTGAGAATACAACGGGGAACGAGACAGACCCACTCTCTGCTGTCGGGGCAGAACAGAAAGGCGGATGTTAACCAATCACCAAATGTGCACAAAATTAACTGATAAAGGCAGGAGGGAGAGGTACCCACTGCCAACAGGAAACCTCAAACAGAATGCCCCTCTCTACCCTATTCCTACACCCAAAGCCCCTAGCCCAAGCGCCAGCCACATCCTCATACACTCGGAGTATGTGGCTACTGGGAGAGGGCCCTGGGACCCTGTAGAGTGGCCTGCCAGTCACCCTGCCTTCCATGGACTACTTGGTAGTAAAATCCTTCCAGACAGTGTGTCTCCCCAGCACCACAACCTCACCCCTGATGTCTACTGTGCTCCCAGGCTATGGTTAGGCTGTCCTGTCCTTAACTGGAATGCCTTGGGGACTCTCGCCCATTTGCAGGTCCAGCCAGCTGACTCTCCAGACGGGAGGACACACAGCCGTGAACTCAGCCTGCTGGGTCTTCCTGGCTTCATGCACAAATTAAACTTTCTAAGGTAAGATTGTGCAGCTGAGATTTTCTTTACAACATTTTTGCATGGAGGACTCGCCACAAATTTTTTTCTAAGACCTTGATGAGATCTTAGAGAAATCGTTCCATATCGTCTGTCCCTCACCAGCCTGGTGATCTTCACTTCTCTGTGCCTCAGTTTTCTCACCTGTGACACACACACAGGATGGTAGCTGTATCCACAGGGCTGCGGCAAAGACAGAGGTGGTGATTCAGCACCACTGCCTGGCACACCACCAGAATCCTGCAGATTTTATATCCTAATTATGCCTCACTCTCTAAAGCAGCTCTCCCAGTGAGTGAATTCTTAAAACAATGGTATTGCCATTTGGCAATAAACAGGAAACCACAAAGTCTGGTGCAGGGTTATGTATGTGTGGGATGGAAGAGATTATTTTTAAATATAATGCTGTGCATAAGCAACAGCATCTTCCTCCCACTCATCTTCAGATAAATCTCTCCCAAACCAAGGTGAAATTTCTCTCGTGTCCCCGAAGTTAGTGTGCCCCAGAGCTAAACTGATTTGAAGACCACATTCCTTTAACTCTTTTCTGAAAAATCCATAAATATGTGCTCATTTATTAAATCACCTGTGAGTATGCCTTCTCAGTGCTAACTCTGTTTTTTAGGCTTATGTTAAAAAAAAAATCTGTTTTTAAATCTGACCATAAAAAATTTTTTTTAATATATTTTAATTCTCAAAATACATTGTAGTTGATTTTCACACCCTTTTACCAGTTCCTCTCGCTGCACTCATATCTGTTCACTTGACTTAAATAGATCAAGGAATTTTTGTGGTTATTCTTTCTTCTTCCCCCCCCCCCCTTTATTTATCTTTAGCTCCAACAAATAACTGAGAACATTTGGTATTTCTCTTTCTGTGCCTGGCTTGTTTCACTTAATTTTCTCTAAGTCCATCCATGTTGTTGCAAATGGTAGTATTTCATTCTTTTTTATAGCAGAGTAGTATTCCATTGTGTAGATATACCACAGTTTCCTTATCCACTCATCTGATGATGGACATTTGGGCTGGTTCCAGCTTTTGGCTATTGTATATAGAGCTGCAATAAATATTGGAGTATAGGTATCCCTTCGGCATGATGATTTCCATTCCTCTGGGTATATTCCCAGCAGTGGAATAGCTGGGTCATATGGTAGATCTTTCTGTAATTGTTTGAGGAACCTCCATATCATTTTCCATAAAGGCTGCACCATTTTGCAGTCCCACCAACAGTGTATGAGAGTTCCTTTTTCTCTGCAACCTCACCAGCACTTACCATTCTCAGTCTTTTGGATGTTAGCCATCCTAACTGGAGTGAGATGGTATCTCAAAGTTGACCATAAAATTAGACTTACAAATGGGATCACTAATGAAAGTTACTTCTTCATTTGATCTAAGTGCTGAGAGAAGCTGAAAAATGCCAAAAAATCAATCCTTCCATGACACAGTTAGTCCTCACACTGGGAGATTTTCATTTGAAATTCCATAAATTGATTTACAATAAACTTAACGCAAAGCATTAAGATTTTCAAACTGATTAAAATAAATTCATATCCAACCTCAATTTGAAGAACCAAAATATCCTGTTAGGACCTCTGCTCTGGCAAGTACAGAATCACAGAAAGTATCTCTGAGACTGTGACTGCAGACACAGCAGTGGCACTCAGAAGCCCATGCACATGTGTTACTTCCATCACTAGTGCTAATTGCCTTTCCCCACAGACTCAATTAAGATGCTGTGCCATTTACCGGACATTGATTCTGATGTGGAAGGAATCTGGTTGCAGAGAGCAGCAGAATGGGCCTCAACTCCCCAGCAGAGGGGGTCCAGGAAGGGTTAGTGAGCGGCCCTTGCTTTCCCATGGACAGGAGCTGTGGGATAACTCAACAGTGTCTCAATTAAGGGCTTTCAGCATCAGGGCTGCAGAAATATGGGGCTGGGGCTGGGGGCAGTCTCCGAGCTGCAACCTAAGTGAATTCATGGGATAATGAAGTGCTTTACAATGGCTCCTTACTATGCGAATATACCACAGCCTGAAGGCAATAATTTAAGAGATGAGCCCATATATTTATTTATTTATTTTAATAATTTCAAGTGGACCCATCTAGAATCTCATTTTTAGAATGAGGGATTTGGAAAAAATGTTACTTCAAACCCAGTCAACAAATTCATGGAATGTGCAGGGAATATGTGAGGAAATGAAAAACCTCCCACCTCCCTACCCCTGATCCCTGCCCAAAAGGAGCTCTGAGCACAGGAACCAGAAACTTCATTTTGAGGTTTGGGGATTCTTACAAGTATTTTGTGTCAAAAATAAGATCATGTGTTACAGAGGGCACATTTCATTGATAAGATAAGGGGTGTTGCTATGGAAAGGACTTAGGCAAGCTTAAGGCCTCACAAGAATGAACGGAAGGTCCCCTGCACAGGTCCCTCCACAGCAGAATACACTGTCTGGGTGGTCAGGAAGAGCTATGTCTGCGGAGAGGCCTTCCAGAGTCTATCTCCAGAATCTTCTTTTTAAACTCAGCACTCTATTGAGAAGTTCTGAATACAATTTTAAGGCAGGTGATTATCTCAACATAATTAAAGCCATATATGATAAACCCACTGCCAGTATCATCCTGAATGGGGAAAAGCTGAAAGCTTTTCCTTTAAGAACAGGAACTAGACAAGGATGCCCACTCTCACCACTCCTATTCAACATAGTGTTGGAAGTACTAGCCAGAGCAATCAGAGAAGAGAAGGAAATAAAGGGCATCCAGATTGGAAAAGATGAAGTCAAACTGTCCCTGTTTGCAGATGACATGATCCTATATATCAAACAGCCTCTACAAAAAAAATTCTTGGAGTTGATAAATGATTTCAGCACAGTAGCAGGATACAAAATCAACACACAAAAACCAGTAGCATTTCTATTCTCCAAAAGTGAACATGCAGAAAGGCATATCAAGAAAGCTTGCCCATTTACAATAGCCACCAAAACAATAAAATACTTAGGAATAGAGTTAATCAAGGATGTGAAAAATCTCTATAATGAGAACTACAAGCCACTTTTGAGATAAATTAAAGAGGACAAAAGAAGATGGAAAGATATTCTACCCTCTTGGATTGGA